AAAAAGTGAATAGAAAAGCTGTGACTCTCAGTAAAGGGTTGCAACTATTAAAAAGAGCAAGAGCAAGATTGCCATAGTTTATTTTTTAAAACAAACAAACATATATTTATTGATCTCTGAGAGTCAGGGAGAGGAGAGAGAGATAGAAACATCAATGATGAGAGAGAATCATAGATCGGTTGCCTCCAGCACACCCAACACCAGGGATCAAGCCTGCAATTTAGGCATGTGCCCTTGTCCAGAATTGAACCTGGGACCCTTGAGTCCACAGGCTGATGCTCTATTCACTGAGCCAAATCAGCTAGAGCCTGAGGTTGTTTTTTAAAAAGATATTTGAAATATCTCACAAAAAATATTTGGAGAATTATCTATGAGATTGGTTGCATGTGGCAAAGAGAGTTAAGAATTACATTAGTTCCAGATAAACCAGGATGAAAAGGAGAAAGATGAGAATAAAAATTCATTTATCTGGCATATTTTGCACAAGTTCTTGAATTAACCTTTGGAACCAAAATAGTGGGGGGAAGGAATAAAAGAAGGGGTTGCTAGAGACTCTGGATATCTAGACTATAATTTGGGCTCCCTCACTATCTAATTCTGTCACTTCCCATTGGGGAATTCTATTTCCAAAACTTAAAGAAGGCTGGATAACATATCAGTACCCTTCCAACTCCAAAGTCCTATGAGTTGTAGATTTCTAGTCACCCTTTCAGAAATAATGCCTATAGTCCAACATAAGAATTAAAGACCCTTCAAAGGATCTTCTAAAGGAAACCTGTGTTTCCTTCTCAGTCTTGCTCTCCCATTGATAGCCCCCTTACCTCAACCCTCAAAAGATTATTTATTTCAAGCTGGTCAGCTCAGGGTGCTTCTGGATTCTGTATCTTTGCTCACATCTTTTTCCCCTCTCCCTCTCCGCTCCCTATGTAAACCCACCAGATCCATTCAGTCTACCTTTGTTTTCTTTGCCTTTTCAAATCCTACCAAGCTTTCAAGTCCCAACCCAAGGCCCTTTCTTCCAGGCTGCCTCCCTAAGTCATCCCAATTACTTCTCTGGGATTTCTTACACTCACTAATAGCTCACTCAGTTTGACACACTACTTTTCATACAAGTTGTCTTTTCATAGGTTTGTCTTGCCTTATCAATTAAAATGGGAACTTCTTGAAATCATTGACATTCTCTTCCATGCATAATGCCTGGCACATGATAGAAACTTAATAAATAGTTGTTGATTATGGAATTTGCCTAAAACTGGGGAGAAAATACAGGGCCCTACCTATGTTAATATAATTTCTGAAAAACTTAGATTAGTTTCATTGACTTGAAACACTTGACCTGAGGCAAACTAATGTTTACATCTAGGGAAATAAAGGAAGGGGACACTCCTCTAATACCAGGCTATGGCATTTCAATAGTACTACAAATGGTACTGAGATAAACAAGGAGTACAACACTGGCTAACGTTTATTGGGAGCAAGCCCTGTTCTGAGGACATTACAAATGTTATTTAATCCCCAGAAAGGTCCTATCAGAAGGTCAGTGTTATTTCCCCTGTGTTATAGATGAGGAAATGGGCAATAATGCAGCTGATTAACTGACCCTCCCAATCACATGAGTAAGCTTATCTTGTATCATGCATGGTAGAGACTTCCAATTATTTTTCTCAGTGTAGCACAAAACAGATTTTTGAGTTCTGTTCAGTGTAGGTCCAATCTAGCTGATATTTCCATGGTTAATGAGAGAAATTGATTCCTGTCCCAGTGACAAGGAACAACTAACAATTCCCTCTTCTGTGTCCATCCAAAAAAATTATCTCTATGGAAAACATAAATGAACTCTCAACTCAAGTGAGAAGGATGCATTATATGATGGGGGCACAATGGGACAATCAAGGACTATGTTATGTGTCTACCCTACGTTTGTAATTTTGTATCTTTAATTTCATTGGTCCACATGAAAAAGTCTTAAATTATTTCTTATCTCTCCTCATGGAATATAGACTTATAGAATCTTTGATTTTTTTTTTTTTTCATAGAAAAAGATACCTTCAGAGACCCTTTACCATAGCCCCTGCATTTGCCCCATGAAGAAGCTGAGTCCCATAGAGGTAAGATGGCTTAACTTACTTCAGGTCCTCTCAGAGAGCAAGGGGGTGGAGCCAGGTCTTCTCAGATGTCCAGAACAGAGGTCTTTCTAATTATACTACTATTTCTTGCTTGAAAATCAGGTATGTAAGTTAATATTGACCTCTATTTCCAGAAATGAATGAAGTCAGCCATTCTCTTTTCTTTTCTTTCTTTCTTTCTTTCTTTCTTTCTTTCTTTCTTTCTTTCTTTCTTTCTTTCTTTCTTTCTTTCTTTCTTTCTTTCCTTCCTTCCTTCCTTCCTTCCTTCCTTCCTTCCTTCCTTCCTTCCTTCCTTCCTTTCCTTCCTCCCTTCCTTCCTTCCTTCCTTCCTCCTTCCTTCCTTCCTTCCTTCCTTCCTTCCTTCCTTCCTTCCTTCCTTCCTTCCTTCCTTCCTTCCTTCTTTCTTTCTTTCTCTCTCTCTCTCTCTCTCTCTCTCTCTCTCTCTCTCTCTCTCTCTCTCTTTCTTTCTTTCTTTCTTTCTTTCTTTTTGTCAGGTGTCATTTTGCTTGGGAATTGTTCTGCCTCATTTTTTGTGCAGTTACATTGGAAGGACAAGAAAGGAAGGTATTTAAAACATGAAAAAGATACCTAGCTGGTTTGGCTCAGTGGATAGAATGTTGGCCTGTGTAGAATGAAGGGTCCCGAGTTCAATTCTGGTCAAGGGCACAAGCCCAGGTTCTGGCTTTGATCCCCAGTAGGGGGTGGGCAGGAGGCAGCTTATCAATGATTCTCTCTTATCATTGATATTTTTCTCTTTCTCTCTCCCACTTCCTCTCTGAAATCAATAATATATATATATTAAAAATAATATTAAAAGGAGTATTTTTAGTGTCTGGAAATAAAAAAAAAAACACGAAGGTTTCAAAGGTCATTTGTTTCTTTTCTTCTGGTGAAACAGCCCTTAATTTGAAGCTGAGATAACCTGTTGGGAGCCATCAGAGTTGAGACAAGCAACTCCACCTTAAGAAAATACAGCTCCATCTTAGAATTAAGTTCCTTCTAGCAGAAGTTATGCGGTGCCCTGAGGGTTTGGCCAGAAGCTAAAGATTAACCTGTGGCTTAGCATCTCTGCAACTTTCCCTTCCTGATCCTCCCCCATAGCTAGCCCAGCCTTTGAATGTTACACCTTGGAATGTTACGCCGCCCTGGCAGTTAGCCAATCCTGTGTTGCCAGATACCTTACCACCTTGTCACTCAGTGCCTAAACCAATTATACACTGCCAAAGATCCCTCTGCGTAGGCAACCCTGCCCCTCTTTGTTCCTGTTGTATATATACTGCCGGTTCAAAAAATAAAGTTTGAGGCTTGATCAGAACCCTGTCTTGCCTCCATTCTTCGCGTTCCTTGTTTGCTTCATTCTCTTTTTCCACGTGCCCTCGTTGTTGCCCCGCGAGTCGGGGCAATAACCTGTCTGGTACTTAAAGATCCTCAGAGAGGGAGAACTATTCCTCTCGTGAGCTGCCACTTTACAGTCCTTACTATTTGAAATTTCTTCCTAATTGTTAGCCCAAATCTCTGGTTTTGTGATGTAATTCTAGTTTTTTTTTATTAAGTGTCCCAAATTCATAAAACTAAGAGCTAACACTTGCTGAGAGGTTATTATGTGCTAAATGCTGTTCATAATCCATGTATTATATCAATAAAAACAATGGCTAGAGCTAGGGCTCCAAGATGCTAAAGTTTAAGGTCAAATTTCAATTCCATCATTTATCAGCTGTGTTGGCCAAGTTTATGCCTTAGTTTTTTTGTATTCGTGAACTGAGCAAAGAAGGGGCTCTTTCCTCATAGGATTTTTATAATGGTTAAAATAGTTAATGAGAGGGCAGGGCGGGGCAAGAGGGCAGGTGGGGTGAGAGGGCAGGTTGGGGCGGGTCCAGCTGGACCCTAGGCCTAACCCAACCAATCAGGTCAGCCAAGGTAGCAGCACCACCCTCCCTATAAAACCCATTGATATGTTAAGTTCTTCCTCTTTCTCGCCCACGCCCTCGTTGGTGTGGGTGAGACTGGGCTCGGACTAGTCCGAAATAAATACAGGCTTTCTGCAATTGCATCGGATTCGGCTCCCAGGTAGTCTTTGGGGTTTATGACACTTGGGCACAACATTAACATATGTAAGGTGCTTAGAACAGTATTAGCTACCATTATTATCTCATTTAATTCTCATTACAGTCTATGAAATAGTTATCCTCATCAACATCCATGTTTGCAGATAAAAAAAAAAATAATAGCAAAGACAAGTTAAGTTGCTCAAGGTCATAGAGCTTATAAAGGAGGAATCTGGATTCTGAAACCCCAGAAACCTCATGTCTACCCACTATCTCCCAGTTCTCCATGTGTCCTCCTTGCAGGGGTTAGACCAGGGTGGGGAAGGAGCATTGACACTGTAAAAAGTCTCAGCATTCAAATCTCATCTTTTCTCTGGGCTTAACTACCTGAAAGATTTTTTTTTTTTTTTTTTTTTTTTTTTTTCCCCATAAGGAAGGACTTAAATTCAACCTTGGTGTCTGAGACCCACCTTTGGACCCCAGCTCACTCCTTCAGGCCTCTCATGGAGCATGGACAGGGCACAGGTGGCTTTGGAGTCACACAATCCTGAGTCTGGCCCAGCTCCACCACTGACTGGCCACGCAATTTAGGCACACTATGTGTTTACTGTGTCTTCGTTTCCTCACCTGTGTAATTGAGATGATGATCCTCTGTCTAGAATTTGTGAAGATTAATGTGCCCATTGAAAATTGGGATCAATAAGTGAACCCTTTCTTCTTCCTATATGAGGAGCCCAAAATGTCCTAAACTCTAAGCTAAAACCCCTTTCCAGCCTTCCACGGCTGATAAATGGTCATTTTACTACTATTTCTTGATCAAGTAGCTCACCATTTGAGCTAAAATCATCCACCAAGATGATCTCCTTTAACAACTGAGAGGGGGTCCGGTTGATGATACTGGTGATGGCCCGTTGAATAATGGACAGAGCTTCATTCATGAATATGAGAATGACACTGAGGGATGGGAGTTGTGAAGAATACGTCTTCTGAAGACACCTACGAGAGACCATTTATAATAACCAGTTTACTTTTTTAAATTAGTTAACCATTACTACCCAATTGATATCACCCCACTACATATAATCTTATATAATAAAACCCTAATATGCAAATCAACCGAACGGTGGAACAACCAGTTGCTATGATGTGCACTGATCACCAGGGGGCAGATGCTGAACACAGGAGCTGCCCCTTGGTGGTCAGTACACTCCCACAGGGGGAGCACCACTCACCCAGAAGCCTGGCTGATGGCTGGTGAGAGCAGGGGCAGTGGAAGGAGCCTCTCCCACCTCCAAGGCAGTGCTAAGGACCTTTTGGGGGATGTTCAACTACTGGCTTAGCCCCATTCCCCACCAGCAGGTGGACATCCCAGACTATGAGAGGGCACAGGCTAGGCTGAGAAAACCCCTCCCATCCAGTGAACAAATATGCACCAGAGGTCTCTAGTGTTATTATATCAATCAGCTCACCCAAGAAATCTCTTTCTTGCTTATCATAGTAGCCAGAAGATTTTATATTTGTTTTTCACAAATTCTCCTGTTCTGAGGATAAAATTTTTTATTATTATTATTACTCTTCAGGAGAAATTTCTACTTGAACATTCAACATGCTTCCAAAGAAATTTCTATTTCTCCTCCATCCGTAAATTAGCTTACTTGCCAGAGGACTTCTTTCTAACTTTGTCACTACCCTTTCCCTATGTTCTCAGACCTTCAGTCATTTTTTACACAACCCACTATAGCACCACTATGGAGAGATAGCAAACTGTCCAAAGAATTGTGCTTGACACATTTTTTAAAATGTCACAGTTTAAATTTATTAAATTCTTACCATATGTGAGGCACTGGCTTATTCTTCTCTTAACATTTTTTAAAAATATATTTTATTGATTTTTTACAAGATGAAGGGAGAGGGAGAGAGAGCTAGAAACATCAATGAAAGAGAAACATCAACCAGCTGCCTCCTGCACACCCCCACCAGGGATGTGGCCGCAACCAATATACATGCCCTTGACTGGAATCGAACCTGGGACCTTTCAGTCCACAGAACAATACTCTATCCACTGAGCCAAACCGATTTCAGCTCTCTTAACATTTTTATTGAGATATATATTACATGCAATAAAATGCACCCATTTAAAAGTTTACAATTCAGTGTTGTTTTTTTTTTATAATATTCATTCTAGAACATTTTCATCACACTATAAAGAACCCCATACCCTAGCCTGTTTGGCTCAGTGGAGAGAGCATCGGCCTAAGGACCAAAGGATCCCGGGTTGAATTCCACTCAAGGGCACATACGTTGGTTGCAGGCTCCTCCCTGGCTCAGCCCCTCTCTCTTCCACTCTCTCTAAAAATCAATGGAAAAATATCCTTGGATGAGGATTAACAAAACAAAACAAAAAAGAAACTCTATACCCATTATCAGTCATTCTTTATTTCTCCCCAAATCATTCCACTCCTACCTGAGAGGTGAACTTTAAATGATTTCAAGCTCAGCCCTGGTTGGTATGGCTCAGTTGGTTGAGCATCATCCTATGCAATGAAGAATTTCGGGTAAAATTCCTGGTTAGGGCACATACCTGGGTTGCGGATTCAATTTCCAGTCAGGGTGCTTACAGGAGGCAACTGATTGATGTTTCTCTCTCTCTCCTCTTTTCCTCTTTCTAAAATCGATTAAAATTTTTTAAAATAAAAATAAATTATTTCAAGCTCACAGGCAGTTCTGAATGCTTTATACAGAGTGGTTATATAATAAATATGTATTTCATTGAGAGTAGAATTGATAATTATGTTACACTGAAAACTGATTAAAATTCTGCTCAGCTTCTCTTACTGCTAATCCTCATAATCCAATCAGTTACCTTTAGATTTTATTTCCTCCACCCAGTCTCTCAGACAGCAGTTTGAATATTTTCTTGGCTATATTCTAAATGCACTTCTCTTACTAGTATATATACCCACATTCTCTTCCCCACCTTATATGAAGAAAGGCAGGAAATGTGGCTCTTACAGTTCCAGAAAGAATGATCTCTCTTTCCTCCTTGTTTCCTAGCACCTGACCCAGAATGTGTAGACCAGATGTGTCCAATAAAATTTTCTGCAGTAATGGCAATGTTTTTTATCTGTTCTATTATGATTGCCATGTGACTATTGGTTATAGTGTGGCTATGTAACCAAAGAACTAAAATTCAATTTAATTCTATTTTAGTTCATTTAAATTTAATTAGTCACAAGTGACTTTTGTCTACTATATTGAATAGTATGCAAAAGATACTGAAAAATATTTATTTCTTGGATGACAGCTAGAAATACTGATTGTTAGCAACTCCTTCCAATATAGAACTATAGTCTCCCCTTACTTCTAGCAACAAGAGGGCACAATGGCAGAAACAGATAAGTAAGTTCTAGGAATTAGAGTTATAAAGATAAACTTTATGATGCATATTACAACTTTGCTTGCAACCAATATTATACACATGCAGATTGTAAGCAACTACACTACAGATTACACTGGGATTTCCCCAGGCCAGTTATACCAGCAGCAAGACCCACTTCCTGAGTGTGCAACCTGTGAGTCTGCAACCTTGGCTTCATACTTTGCTATCACCATCTTGAAATTCTTAATAATTTTTTAACAAAGGGCCCCATGTTTTATTTTGCACTGGGTCCTACAAATTTTGTACTTGGTCCTGGCCACAGCATTTTGGTGGAAGGCCTATTAGAAATTAACTTTCAAAGCTATGCCTTTTCATGTGTTTATTTGTTGATACTTAATAACTACATAAACTCAATAAAGTGACTGACTGATCATCCATTTCTGGACAATACTCTCCTGAGTAGCTTTTTTCTGGTCTCTAAAAGGTAAAGAGAGGGCATGCAAGGACTGGCATGTTTTTGGTGTCAGACAGCTAGAAACTATAAAGAGAGGGCATGCAAGGACTGGCATGTTTTTGGTGTCAGAGCTAGAAACATCAATGAAAGAGAAACATCGACCAGCTGCCTCCTGCACACCCCCCACCAGGGATGTGGCCGCAACCAATATACATATACATACCCAGAAAGCTGTGGAACTCAATAACTACAATCAGTTTGCTATCTAACTTAGCAGGGAACTATTCTTATATAATCAAACTAGAGGCCTAATGCACAAAATTCATGCAAAGGACTCTGCCCTCTAAGCCCTGGCTTTGTCCAAAAGGTATCCGGAAGAACGTTCAGAAGGATATCCAGTCTAATTAGCATATTATACTTTTATTATTATAGAATAGAGGCCTGCTGCACAAAATTCCTACATTCTGGAGGGTTCCTCAGCCTGGCTTGTGCCCTCACACAGTCTGGGACCCTTTGCTCCTTACCATCTGCCTGCTTGCTGCTCCTTAGTGCTGCTATGGAGGCAGAAGAGGCTCCCATCACCACCACTGTGCTCACTAGCCAAGTGCCCAGCTTCTGGCTGAATGCACTGACCACCAGGTCAGCTCCTGCATTGAGCATCTGACCCCTGATGGTCAATGTGCATTATAGCAACCGATTGTTCCTCCGTTTGGTCGATTTGCATATTAGGGTCTTATTATATAGGATAATTCAAAATTCTATGTCATAGCTAGGATTCTCTAAATCACTTCTCCCTCAAAGAAAGTTAATGGAATGGACTTCCTATAGTTCTTGAAACATAATGGTTTTCAGAATGTTTTAGCTCTGAAATCCATATATGTCTAAAACATATATGTGGGGTTTTTTATGTACATCAAAGAAGAATACTCATTTGGTTTATAAGTATCAGATGTGTCTCAGATGTTAATTAAATATATAAAGATAAGTTATTCATACATATTTTTTATCTACAATAATACTACAATAACAAGCAGTTTCATGAGTTAGTCCCTAAATCAACTAAGTATAAATGCTCCAAAATTAAATAAGTACAAGTAAGTTTAAGTAATCAACTGATCCCATCCCTAAAGACCTAAATTATGTAACTGATACAGAAGAAAGTATATTATATCTTACTGGACTCCTAATACACAAGTGGCAAATACTGACACACATACACCCAATCTCTCCTTGCATGATGGCAGGCAACTCTAACAGATCATAGCACTCATGCCTTTGACCGTGGTCTCAAAATCTACCCACAATAGTATACCAGGGAGTCACTACCAGTCAATTGGTGCTGGCATCAAAGATGAGACTGCAGAATACATATTTCATAACTTCTAAAAGAAATATTTATACTCAAAAACTTCTATGCATATCCAAGAAGATCAATGAACCACAAGTACAATAATGGTAAAGGTATGCACCCAAATGTATATCTCATAGTCCAAATGCTGAAAAGCCAAAGATAAAAAGAAAATCTTGAAAGAAACAATAAAATACAAGAAACAAGAAAAAACACTTAGAAGGAATCTCCAATAATATTAACAGTTGGCATCTCACCAGACACAATTGAGCCAGAAGACAGTGAAATGACATATTTTAATAGTTGAAAGGAAAAAAAAAATCAACCAAGCATTTTTTATCTTATATCTTTCAAATATGAAGATGAAATGAAGACATGGGCAGATAAACACTGAATTTGTTGGTATCAGACCCACCTTACAACAAATATAAGTTCTTTAGGCTAAAAGCAAGTAATCTCAGACAGTAATCCAAATAAACACACACACACACACACACAAAAAAAAAACAAAAAAAAAACAACAACAAAAAAAACCAGTAAAGTGGGGCATGCAAGAAGTAGCTGATTAATGATTCTCTTTAATCATTAATGTGTTTATCTCTCTCCCTCTACCTTTCTCTCTGAAATGAATAAAAATATTTTTTTAAAAAAGACCTGAAAACCTAAAGCATTGTTAAAAGAAATTTTAAAATAACTAAACAAAGATTTCCCATGTTCATAGACTTGGGTGGGGCAGAAACTGGATGGAGGGGAACAATCTATACAAATAATAAAGGAATATGCAAATTGTCTGAGATGCTGTCATATAACAACCA